TAATGTGTTCAGATTGACATTTAAGAGTTCCAAATAGAGGGTTCTGAAAAAGCTTTAAAGAAAAGTATTTAAGAACAACAAAAAAAAGTTATTTGGCTACTCTATTTTAAATACTAAATATTAGAAAAAAATAAAAGGACTTGCAGAATTCCGAAGGAAGAAGGTTTTAACACAATATGTCTTATTGAGGCAAGTTTATATATATATGTATATATACACACACACACATATATATGTATACACACACACGTCTATGTAAAAAATTATATATATACATGTAATTTCAAGTCTGCAAACAGATAAAAGTATGTCATATAGTTATCCTTCATAAGTAAATTGTCTTTTATAAAACAATACTAAATAAAAAATAAACTAACTTTCCTCACTGAAGAAGAAATTATGACTAGAAATCCTAATGAATATCAAAAAGATTAAACTCACAGAAAGACAGTTTTCAATAATTTTTTTTTGTGTGTGTGTGTTTTGCTGTATGGTACGTGTGCTTGCTGGAGAGAGAGAAAGAGAGAGAGAGAGAAAAAGTAAGAAATCACCCCAGGGAGAAGGGCCACACTGCACCCCCTTCTCCTCTATTCTCCACTCGAGGTTTTGGGCACACATGCCGATCATATTTTCCAAGCTACCTGTCTGGACTAGAACTGAATAGTGGGTCATGTGGATGCAGCCATCACAACCAACACTTTGCTTGACTGGCCCATGAATAATGTTTTAAAAATTATATCAAAATTTACATTTTTTTTCTTGATGGGAGATGACTTATACAAAGCAAAATAAACAAATAGCCAGATAGTGTTCACAATCCCAGATTAAAATAACTAAAACTGTGACTTAGTATCTGCGGAATGGATCAAGAGTGGTGAATTTTCCTAGAGTTGATTTTATTTTAATTTTTATGGCTCAATTATAGAATGTGATTGTGAAGTTTAAACAGAAGTGGCAATACCCATAAGTAGATATAAATTTATGTTATCTCCCAAATCACCATAGGACAAACTGTCTATCAAAAATGCCTAGTGTGGGGGGCAAAATCAGTGTAGCCAGACAATATGAAAAGAGGTAGGCTAAATGTAAGATTCCAATGGGAGAAAAAGTTATTTAAAAAAATCCACAGATGAGCTGTGTATAAAGAAATCTGTAAGAGACTGGAAGATGGCATGTGGTTAAGGGCACTGGACTCCCACATGGCTGATTACGGTTCAAGTCCCAGACCTGGCAACTTGCTTTCTCGCTTTCTCTCCCTCTCTCTCTCACACCCTGTCCCTCTCTGGTCAAATTAAAATAAATACATAAAGTTTAATCAAATAATTCTTTTAAAAAAGAAATACATAAATGAAAAATATGTTAAAGTAAAAAATGTACCTAGTGATTTATCAGCAAGAGCAAATGCACAGATAATGAAAATATGAGCTTAATTGATAATAGATATTGGAAGATTAGGTGAAAAGAATTAATTATAATAAAACGTTATTTTACATCAATAAAACACTATCTAAAAATTAAGACATAGCAGTAATAAACCTCTCTAAAATCACCTAATTATGTAAGTTAAACATTTAAAAATAAAAGATGAATTCTTAGAAAGATAGTTCTCTTAGGGAAACTGCCATGACTAAAAGGGGAAAAAGAGTAACAAGTAAAACAATAATTGTGGAAAGCTATTTGGTAACAGACTAACAGTCTTAGCAGCTCATATTATTTGTGTTCAGTAATTCTAATTCTAGGAATCTATTTTTAAAATAATAAAATTTTTGGACAAACACTTATAAATAAGTGTGTTTACTAAAACCTTAATAATAAAATACTTAAAACATATGTATAATATATATGATTTCTATCTAAAATAAATTACAGTTCCAGAAATAGAAGGAACAAATAAAAGATTGTCCTGAATTACTCCTTGGTTCTTTTATTCCCCTTTTGTTTATCATAGAGTGCTTGTGTTCATATTGAAAAAGTGAGACTGGGAAGGATCAGCAGATGGCATGATTGTTACATTGCTGGATTTCCATGTTGACCACAGTTCAGGTCCAGACCTAATAGCTCAAAACTCATGCCAGGTGTGTGTGCGTGCATGCCCAAAATCCTAAGAGGAGAATGGACAAGACCGGGTTTCAGTGTGACCATCTCCCTTGGGGGGTGATTTCTCACTTTCTGTCTCTCTGTCTGTCTCTCTTTCTTTGGAGAACACATGTGCCCTATAGCAACAATCTCTCTCAATAAATAAATAAATAAATAAATAAATAAATAAATAAAAAGTGAGACTGGAAGAGAATGCTGCAGGATCAGGATGTTTCACAATCCATCTTTTCCAGTTCCCCTGTCCAAAGTGTATTAGCCTGTTCAGACCTGGGGTTTTGAACCACAGTTGCCATGTTAAATTTGGCTTCCCTTAGCAGTGTCTTGTTCTGTGGTTCTTATCAGTAAAACAAAACAAAATCACTAATAACAGTTTCCTCGATAGATTGAGAATACGCCATATTTTGAATAATACAGTCTACAATCTAGGAATCTCTTCTAGGAATATATAAATTTTATTTGATTTAAAAGTGTAAAGCCATAGGAAATTATGATCCATACAATTATACCTATGCCAGAATTCCTGTGACCAAATGGTACTAGAAAAGCAACTGACACAGAATGAAAATACTTAAGTATGTTTAGATGATGAGTGAATATTTAGCTAAATTATTATTGATAAAAGTAATTATGATAAGTGGCATGAAGTGAAATGAGAAATACTTTGTATTAGTAACTTGGTTAAAAATTGAAAACTTGTTGGTTAAACTTGAGGATGACATCAGGTAGACAGACGACAGTAGGCAAATAATGTTTGGCATTGCTTTGGTTGGTAGAATTATAGGTATGAATAATATAGCTATTTAGTCGATAGTGAAAAAAATAAGAATAGCTCCAGGGGAACAAATATATGATAGGTATTTATTATAGACCAGGCATTGGAAGTATCAGTCACTCCAAACACAACTACAGATTTGTTTTGCTTAGCAAGAGTGTTTTCATGTGTTTTGAATTTGAAATGCTTTAATTAGGTCAGCAGACATTCTAGTGTTTATGCCCTCTACCCCAACCTACCCAAGTTCTTGGCAGGTTCTCTATCAGCCCTAGTTGTGTTTTGCTGGGAATTTAAAAAACAAAAACAAAAAAACAACAAAGGCACCTGCTTTGGGAACATGCAGCCCCAAGGTGCAGAGCTCTGTGAGGATGACAGGAGATTGAGATTGTGGCCCCTACTGGTTCCTCTGCCTTGAAATTTTGTAAAACTTACAAAATGTTTACCTCTCCTTGGAAATGTTTCCTACTGGCTTATGCCTCATTATTTCACACATTGATGTTGCCTAACTGACCCCAGAAATCTTTTATTATTGACCCATTATTGAATTGGAATAAGACTCTGTCTTTGTGACACTGTGGTCATTATATTCTGACATGAAGAAGTTTAATTGGCCTGTAGGCAATTTAGTTTGGAAAGAATGCTGAGTCAATTTTCCCCCCATGCTGAAATGTTTGACTTTTTTCATTTAGTGGAACAAAGCATCAAAAATATACTAACAGGAAAATTAACTCTATGGGAGAAAAATTATGAGTTTTTTTTTTTCTTTTTAGGCATCAATTTTGAATTCCTCTTATAGTTAAATGCACACTATTAGAATGACATGTTTATTCTTATGAATAATAGAAAGTACTAATATTTCTACATTATGTTTCCTCAGTTAAAAGGAAATAAATGTTTTAAGAAGATACTGAGGAAATTATGCAAATAAAAAATGGTCAGACGGTAAAATATAAAGAAAATAAAAAGATCTTATTATTTATATGTGTAAGGTTACACTGATGAGACCCTGTTAATATATTTAGATACTATATTAATAAATAATATCTGCTAAATACATGTCATTTAAAAGTGATTTTATTTATACTGCAAGGTTTATTTTAAAGATAAACTCATAGTAATCCTTCCTTTTAGGAAAATAGTTGAATGGTTGACTAGGGAAATATAGATGACAAAAAATATAGATGACAAATTTCATTCGTATTTAGTAATCCTTAGATTGCCATTCAATTATTGGTAATTTGAGAGAGTGAGGAAAAATAAACTACTGACTTAATTTCTTCTTTTGCCTCTGTTCTCCCTTATGGTGACCACTGTTACATGATAGTGTGATAGTGTAGATGTCAATATCACCCAACCTATGAATTCTGTAGCATGCTATTTTTATATTTGTCTTCCAGAAGCTTGGCTATGCCATCGCATAGACTGTGTTCAGTAGGTATAAAACGTCTGAAAACTCAGAGTAGATGGTTTAATCTATCAGAAGGTACTAGTTAGATTACGATTCATATTTAATAAAGTACAGAGAGTATTGGAATACTTATCTGGATGAGATAACTATAATCTCCTTTCCTGGGACTATCTTAAAAGCTGCAAAGGTGTATTTTTAAAAGCTCCAGAGATAATCATAGATATGGCGTTGCATTATTGGGGGTTGTATAGCATACTAGCCAATGCCTACCTTAAGCTTGCTTTTACCTATAAATTTATCCTGGATTCCCAGGTTTTACTATGTCTTTTAGCTTAGTCTGTATAATATGACATTCTATCTTTATAATGAGAGGATGAAATAGATCCATTACAGTAAAAGATATAAGCTATTAATGATTTCTAGCTAGCTATCAAGGGATCATCAAATGTGGTTTATCTTGGTGAATAAAAGTTTCAATGGAAAATTAAGTTCCCACACTGACTGTAGAGGTGCAGTGGATCATTTTGTTCTTTAATGTCACACTTCACTGGTCACACTTCACAGAGCAGTGAATCATGCTTAAAACAAGCAGCCTTTACTTTAACGACAGCAGATAATGCAGCAGAGGTGAATAATAAGTGTTAGCAGCCTTAACTTTCTCTTGCAGTACTCTCTCCCAGGTGCCTGATGGACAATTTACAAAGTACATATGCTATTTTATAGATTGGAACTTGGGATCCAGCCAGTGGCCTGAATATGACAGAAAGTCAAAAGGGAAAGCCAGCCAACATCACAGATTCCTTATCCAATCGTTCTTTGATTGTTACCACCATTTTGGTAAGTATTTGTTTTTCCATTATTTTTAGGCAAATGTAGATAAAAATGGAAGTGGATAGAGAAGGACATTGAAATTGGAACAGTAATGAACAGAATGTAATGTATTTTATAGTTATTTAGCAATTACAGTATATCCGATGAGTCAATGTTAATTCAGTCTTCAATGATGTAAATTATATTAATGTTTGGGCTGTTTATGTTGATTAATAATATGACTTCATGTATTCCTGGAAATCTTTATATTCTACAAAATTAGTTACTGGTGAAGAAATGTCAATGTCAAGATTTGAAATATATGGGGATATGGAGCTATATAAATGTAGTTAACTGAGGAGTCAAACATGAACTTTGCTTCTGCTTTTGTTTTCTACAAATATGTTTCAGGGGGTATGACATTTATTTTTCAGAATTTTCTTCTATTACAGTATGTTTTTAAACTTGCTTTCAATTTTGTTCTTTTACTCTTGGAGAATTATTTTTACTTTACTAATTTACCTAATGGAATCAAATAGCAAACACTTTAAAAAGCCAGAAATACTTTTACCACCAATGGAATTAAATTAATATTATTAAGTTTACCCCTCCTGTAATTATAAATTTTAATTAGAGCACACAGTACAGTTCACTTCTGCCTACTATTCCATTGCAAAATGAAATATTAATTTTAGGTTAAGTAAGAAGCTCTTATTTCATTGGTACTTTCTACCTGTGAAACAGACTTATTGATGCCTGTTTTTATGTCTCCCCACATAGTCAGTAAAAAAGTGAAATTTATACCCAGAACAAACCACCACAAATGTTGAGCATTTATACATTTTCTAAATGTGATTTATAGTGGTAAATCAAGCCAGGGGAAACTAATACTTTTGTTCCGTAGTAGCAACAATGGATATCAGATTCATAGGCTTGCCAAAATTACCTAGTTTGGGTTAAAGTTTTTAATAATGATGTTAAGTTGGTGATCATGAAATGACAGCAGTGGAAGCTCATGAGATTTTTTTAAAGTTGCTTCGTTCCTAAGAATGTCTGTGAATTTTGTTCACTTTGTGTCACATCCAAACTTCCAAGGCTTCTTTAACTTATGTATATCCCTTTCTTTTTAAAGATAGCTCCTATACCCACCAACCCAGCCCTACTCTTCAGTCAAATGTTCACCTAGAATACCAAGACATCTTATTTCTTGCCCATCTGCCAGTATGTCCTGGA